CATGCATGCAAACATACATACATATACCCGCACGAACGTACATCCATATAAATTTCACAAGCCGATAGGATAACGGTAACGTTAAAGATTATAGAAGCCATAACAACTAAAATGCGCACTCTCTCAGCGACCCGGTCTCCAGAACGGGTCACCCTCTCCAAAACGGGACTCTAAAAAATACGTTCAACCTCCTTCAATATTCAAACAAAGACATTCTTATAGCCTTGAAGCAACCCTTTGAAAAGCCGTTTTCAATCGTTTCAGGCTAGCATGAAAAAACTCGGCCCAAACCTTCTAAAATCCCTTTCAAGCCCTTCTGCAACATGTGACATGTGTTATTTAAAAGCTGTCCATAGCCCTCCGAAATATCCTTTAACAATCCTTCCAAGATCATAAACACCGTCAAACCGCTTCAAGCTATCATTAAGACCCTTCCCAAACACTTCAAAGCGTCAAAAAATCACTTGCAAAACCCATGAAAATACCATCAAAGACCTGCCACCAGTACCGGCTGTGTTGTTGTTGTTGTTATGGGTGGTGGTGGTGGTGGTGGTGGTGGTGGTGGTGGCGGTGGTGGTGGCGGTGGCAGTGGCGGTAGCAGTGGCGGCGGAGGTGGTGGGTGGGAGAGGTATAAACCAACCTGACGGGGTTCTTGCTGTTGCTCAGTATCACTATACTGGAAAGACTCTCTACTTCCTTCACAATACCACTAAGACCGTTCCAACACCCCTTGCAATAGCAGTCAAACCCTTCTAAAAAACCTTTCTAAAAGTTTCAGAGCGCCACATGAGATCCGTTCCGAAGCCTTCTAAACTCTTCAAAATGCAACTAACACCGTTGAAACCGGTTTAAATCTTTGTTCAAGCTTTCAAAACGCTAGTAAACCCTTCAAGACGCTTGTAATCCTTACAAAATACTAAGTACAATTCATATACTAAGTACAATTCAAAATCCTGTAAACGGTACCGGGTTGTGCTGTTGGGGGAGGGGGAAGACCCCAAAGCCGGGAAGAGGGGCGAGGAGTGTATCCAGCCAGCACGGCGAACAGTCCAAAATCCAACCCGATTTCATGCCACAACAGAAGCGGGGACAGGGGAACGGAGGAGGCGAAGGAGTCAAGGGAAGACTTCGAATCCGCAGGGGCGCCCCCTTCAAAGCTACCATTTGAAGGCCTCCAGAATCCTTAGAAACACCACTAAAAGCCCTCTGAAACTTTTCCAAATGTCATTAAGACTCAAATAAGATTCTAAGATGTTCCACAAATCGTTAGACCCTGTGTGGTGGGCGGCAGATGGCGGATGGCTGGTGGTGGGTGGTGGGTGGTGGGTGGGTCGGTTGGTGGGTGAGTGGGCGGGTGAGTATAGGTGGGTGGTGGGTGGCGGTGAGTGGTGGTTGGTTGTGTGGTTTGTGGCGGTGCGAGTGATGGCGATGCTGGGGATGGTCATGGTCATGGATTACTTCATCCGTGTGCATACCCAAAAATCGGCATCTTACTTACCGTTTTCGGATATCTTAGTTGTGTTGCCGATCCCTTTAAACCCTAAACCCTAAACCCTAAACCCTAAACCGCAACCCGTCCAGGCGCAACATCGTTATTTGGCCTGGCGTGCTTGACCGATTCAGCGCGGTCTTTCGGGATACTGGCAACCCATATCTCGACCTGGTGGCCTATCTGATGTTTTGAAAAGAGCATTGGGTTTTAGGTGTTTGGGTTTGAGGGTTTAGGGTTTCTGGGTTTAGAGCATTATGTTTTAGGGTTTGTTTTAGGGTTTTGGGTTTTAGGGTGTAGGGCATTTCTTTCAATAACACATTGGGTTTGTTTTTTTTAAGGCCTTACTCGACCTGTGACCGTGGCCAGACTGATGTCTAAAGCCTCCTTTGCAGGTATAGGGTTGTGTAGTCTTTTGGTAACTGAATACTAGGGTTTAGGATTGAGGTAATACATTTGAACTCCAGTCTTGTTGCTTAGTCAGGAACCCAAAACAGTGTATGTGCCTCGTGGTTCTCGAGCTGGAATTCAGCATCTTTTCCCTGCTTAACCTAGAAGATACATGTGAATGAACCCTAAACCCTAAACCGTGTCTGTGGCAAGATCTCGTCCTCGTCCAAACCCCAAATCTTACCCAATCAATCCTCAATATCTACCTGGCAGCCCACCCGTTTAGGGTGTAAGGTTTAGGGTCTTCCCTTCCTACCAGGGACCCAGTTTAGGTGTTCTGTTCAAGCGGCAATTCAGGGCACCAGAACAGCAGCCTGTTGTAGAAACCTGGTGCCAAAGTTGGGTCTCTCACTTCTTACCCCTGTGTTTATTTCGGGACTCCCTGCTGCGATTTGACTATACATATAGCTACAATTGTAACCATACATATACATATATGTATATATACACATAGATACAGACACAGAGGGAGAGAGAGAGAGAGAGATATATATATATATATATCTACATACATAGAGCGAGAGAGAGATGGGCCGTAGTAGTCAATCAGAATAGGGCTTCGGAGTAAATTAAGGAAGAATCGAGTATTACTGCCCGTCATTCAGGCTATAATTTTTTAAAAGGTAAGTTTCAGCGGGGTTCAAACATACTCATCGACAGCCGTACATCGAAGCGAAGACATGCAGTTGCCGAGTCTACAGCACCCAAGTGGAGTTGAGCAGTTGAAGCCACTGCAGCGATCCCAGAGGACACTTGTGTTCCATCAGAGCTCAGCGTCTAGATCATCCAAACCCCACTGAAGCCTACACCTGCGAACCCCTAGCCAATGATAGCTTCCTCGAGCCCAAGCTCACAATGTTGACCCAGAGAGCTAGGAACACCTGCAAAAACTCATAGGCTTGGAGTTACGGGTATTGATGCAACGTCGATCCCGAGCACTTGAACCCTGAGCTGTCTAGGAAATCACGACGGACTTGCCGGGGGAGCAGCCGGATGGAGCTTCGCGCCTGAATAAACCTAAACCCTCTGGCAACCCTATATAACCTACAACGCTTCCTATGATTTTCTTAAACATGTTCATGGAAGTCCTTGAGGTGGTAGGTTCTTTAGGGTTAGGTATATGCTGAACCATGCTAAGCCCTTTTCCCTCTACCCTGAACCCCTAAACTGTTATCTGCCCAACCCCTACACCCGTAAACCCCTAAAACCCTGAACCCTACGGTTGATGATATAAATCCTGCATTACCCGTAATTAGGAATGCACCATAATTCCCATAGTTTAGG